CCCCGCCACCGCCACCGCCAACCCCTCAGCCCCTCCCCCTCCCCCTCCAAACCAAAACCAAAACCCAAAACGTACAAGCTCATTCCCATCAACGAACCCTGAAGAATTACCATACATCCTCGCAGGCGAATTGGAGCGGCAGCTCTTGGGCCAGATCGAGGGCCGGTTGAAGACGAGGTCTTTGAAAGAGTTGGACGAGAGCAAGGGGAAGGGGAAGGGGAAGGGGGAGGGGAAGGGGAAGGGGGAGGAGGTGTGGTGGGATAAACTGGTGGGTGTTGTGCAAGTTGGTCGAAGAAAGTTGAGGTACGTTCCCCCTCTTTTTCTTTTCTTTTTTTCTCAACCTGATATGCAAAGGCGGAAGGCGGGAGGCGGGAGGGGAGAAGGGGAGAAGGCTGATGAGAGTTGTATAGGGTTTCGTTACCGCCGCCTTATCATACTATCTACGCGTCCATCTCTTCGCCTCCAACTCCTCCTCCTCCTTCACCGCTCGAGCCGGAGGTGAAGGAGGTGGTGGAAGATGACGTTGGGCACGATGAGAGCGTGATCGAGACTGAGGGAAAGCAGGAGAAGGAGGAGGAGGAGGAGAAGGAGGAGAAGAAGGAGGGAGAGGAAAAGTACGATTCGAGGGATTCGGAGGGAGGGTTGTGGGATTGGGTTGATGGGCTTGAGCTGTAGTTTGCAAAGTCGTCATGAGGTCCATTCATGAAATGTGTTGAATGCGTTGAATGCGATGGAGGCCGTGAACAGATCTGATATATACATTGAGAAGCAGCAAAATGCACAGTTCACCCATTGCACTATCCCTCCGACCACGGGCCGATTCACATAAGCCCTGAAGATTCATCAACAGCTCCATCCTCCTCCTCCTTCTTCCACGGACACATCATGTTGATATCGCTGCCAATGGCGGTCAACAAAATCCAAGACGGGTGCGTCCATTGCCCCCGCCCGTGTGACCGTAGGAGCCACCGCCGTACGGCGTGGAGTGAGCCTGAAAGCCAGAACCGCCAGAACCGGGCTCGGGCTCGGGACTGGGGAGCTCGGGAGCATACTTCCTGGCCAGGGCCCGGACGATGGAGTCACCCGAGGCACCACCCCACCTAGCGGCCGCCTGGAGGGACAACCAGGGACCCCCGGCCTCGGTAGCAGCGCAGATAATAGCGCCGGACTGGTCCGCCGTAAGCACCCCCCTGTCCACGAGACCCTCCAGGAAGGTCACGGCCTCTTTGAGCGCCGCCTTCTGCTCCTGCTCCTGCGCCTTGCGAGCGGCGTTGGCGGCCTCCAGCTTGGCTGCAGCTCGGGCATGGCGCTCCTGCTTGAATGCTTGGGCCATGTCGTCCATCGCACTGCTTAAACATCTCAGTGCCTCGACGGTCTCATCCTCGTCCAAGCTCGCGACCATTGCCGCAACCATTGCCAGACGCCAGACGTCTCCCACAAACATGTATTCCTCATCTTCATCTTCATCCTCTTCATCCTCGTCGTCATCGCTCCCATCAAGGTCGTCGGATGGAGGGTAGAGCGAGAACGCTTCCCAGATATCCTGTTGGGCGAGGGGATGCTCGCAGATGGGGCTCGATGGAGGGCTTGTCTGAAGTGAGAGGGGGTGATCGGGGGACAGGTCGGGGATAATGAAGTGCGACATGGTGGATGAGGAGGAGGAAGAACGAAGCAGTAGTGACAACGAACAACGCGTCGACGCGTTGCCTGCGCGTTGATAACTGCGTAAAATAATTACCACGTCACTAGTCTCTCCGCGCGAGCCGACGCGGACGCGACGGGGATGGACTGGCTCGACGCAAGGCCAGATCAATGCCCAAGGAAGATAGCGTTTGTGCTAGTATGGTGAGCGAGAGAGAGCGAGAGTGTACTAGAGAAGACAACAATGTTTCATCGACAGAGTATCTAAAAGCTATGAAGGAATGACGAATAATAACCGCCTCTCGGCAGCAGGCGGCGCAGGCGTTCAACGGCAGAGACCAAATAGGACCGATACGGTACATATGGATGGGGTCTGATTCGTTACCTTACGAGTACTGCATACAAAATGCAGGCAACACGAAGGCGGCGCCAGCCAGGTCGCGTTGAACGACATGAACAATCGAACGTGTCCGGGAACGCCTTACGGCATCTCAAACGTCCCTTCGTGTCTCGCCTCAATTCAGAATCGACGACGTGCCCATGCTTGTCCGTACATGCTTCTCTCTACGATCCCCACAACCCACCATTCATTCACAGAGTGCATCCATACAAAAGTCGACATGCTACATACGCCTTTTTGCGATCGGGGTCAAGGAAAGGTGACTATCAGGGCCGACGCGACTAACCTTCAGGGAAGTGGTGAGTATCAAATCGCGTTATTCGGGTTCCTCTGCTGCATCCCGTTTTTTGTGCCGATTTAGTGCGTGGTATCTCGAGCTCCAGCCAGAAGGGGACAGCTGCTGCTGGCTAGTCTTGCCTGTAGACAGGCAAGCACGACTCGCGGCTTTCCTCAACAGCTCGCCTTCTCAATTCATGTCTCTGTCTGCACCCTTGCTCGCTCCTTGTTGAACACTGTAGATTGCAGATCGGATCGCCCCCTCCCGACTCCGGATCCACTCTCGGTCGTTCTGTCCCGTGGCATGTATAAGCATGAGCTTTTACGTTCTCTGCTATCTTTCAGGACCCTTTTGCGATCATCGGATCCAAAATCCTGCAATCAATTCATGTAGACCTGTAAAACTCCATAACCGGTCACAGTTGATCAGCCGGAACAGATCTATAAAAGGGGCCCCATCTCGCTCATAGCTCTTCTCCTCACCCCCCAATCTTTACTCCAACTTCCCTTAGCACCCTCAGCTCTAGCCATCACCCACCCACCCCACCCACCTATTCTTCTCTCCCCGTCTCTCCTTCAGTACTCTCTAACCTACCATGTTCCTCTCCCTTCAAACCATAGCCCTTATAGCCTCTTCTGGTCTTTTCGCCTAAAGTGTGTCCGGCGCTACTATGGAAGAGCGTGCTACCAGTCTGTGCAACCAGGTCAACTATGGGGCCAAGGGTTATCCTTGGATGTCCAACTCTACCCCGGGGTCGTTCTGCTCCAAGACGAAGCAACAGAGAAGAATGGCAACTGGGGTGATCAGGATGATCCTAACACTATAGTCGAGTCTAATGGCTACTGCAAGTCGGGTGCTTGTTCCTCATAAGCTAGTGTACATAGTGTTTTGATATGGAGCTGGTTCACGAGGCAGAATGCGCCATCTAAGAAGACATCCACCTGGCGGGATGCAAGAGAAGGCAGGCGCGTCGCGACTCCACCTGCAATCGGCGCTATCCACCGCCACTGACGCATTCCGGTTGACGTCATTCCTCGCGATGCCCTCTCCCTTGAGTCCCTTCTCTTTCTATCTCTTTTCTCTTTCTCTTCTCAACAATCCCCATGTCAGCCCCCCTGGCCCACGCTTTTGCTGACCTCGCAGCCCCCACGGCCCCCACCGCCAGCACCTCTGGCTTTGCCAACGCCGACCCACCTCCACCAGGCGGCCTCGCCTCCTCGCCCCACGTCCCCAAGCCCGGCACCTCTATCGACCCTGCTACCGGCAAGCCCCACACCGCTGGCCTCACGAGGACAGAGCTCGACGCGAAGAAGGCCGCTGCTATCCAAGCTGCTGCTCCCTCGGCCCCAGCCGAGCCGCCAGTCAGCAACTCGGACGGTCTTACCACCTCTGCCGGTCTAGGCGGTGAGTGGGGGCCTGGGTTGGCTAGTGCCCCTGGTGTACCCAAGCCGGGGAAGAGTATCAACCCCGAGACTGGTAAACCGCATACGGCTGGTATCACCCGGGCCGAGCTGGAGGCTCGCAAAGCTGCCAAAGCCGCTGAACTGTCGCCTTCTGAAGCCGACCACATCAAGAGCAAGGGCGCCGACCTCCTCGATCCTGCGCCCCAGACAGAGCAAATACGACGCGGTAGTCTGACTGCCCCCACGACGGAGCGTAGGCCGAGCGATGTCAGTGGGAGAGAACAAGCTGCTAGGCAGTTGTTGGCTGCGCAGATCAACGAGGCGGAGACTGCTTCGCCGGGCACTTCCACGCCTGGGCAAGAGATGCCTGGTGCATGGGGCGGTACGTATCTCCTATCCAGAGTCTGATGCGCCTGCTAATGTGAGAGTAGACAACAAGCCCATCCCTCTCCCTGGAACATCCGCCAACGCTCCAACCACTCTCTACGAAGACGTCGCTGAAGGACTCGGTAAAGTCGGTCAAGCCGCCTTTGCTGTCATCCCTTCCCCCATCAAGGAGGCGTTCCACCAGGAAGCAATGGGTGCCCCGCGAAGGGTGTCGGATGCGTCGTTGACCAGCAGTAGGGGTCTTGAAGCGAGCCCTACGAATACGACGGGAAGGAGGGCCAGTGCGACGTCTATCATTGATCAGGCGAGGGTACAGGCTACCAAGTTGTCGGGCAATCTGCAGGGGACTTTGGAAAGTACCCAACGTGAGTGTTTATGCCCCATGATCGGATTAGGAGCTCATGGCAAGTAGGACGAGCATCAGCCAACTTTGGTCCCGACGGCACGATCAGAAAGCAAGTGTTGAACTTTGTCGACGAGGCTTTCCAGTCTACCAAGGAATTGTCTAATGCCGAGTTTGGGTTCGTCGCCTCTGGTCCTGGAGGTCCTGGTGGGCGTATCACCTGTAAGCCGCCATTGATTTCATCCCTCTTTCAAAAGCTCATAGGAATACAGTGATCCCCCGTTACTCTCAATCAGCCGAAGGGCAGTCCGCCGACAAAGCAGCTCCCTCCAGACCTACGAGCGAGTATCTCGGTTCTGTCCCTGGCGAAAAGTCTGATGGTACCGGCGCCTTGCCGGGGAGTATCACCGAGACTGGTGTAGCTATCCTGCCCGAGGAAAAGAGTGAGTCGTGTCCTTGATCGACAGCAAGTGCTGATGAAGATATAGACTTGAAGAATGAGAGATCCACCAACCAGAATGTCCGACCCGGAGAAGCTTCTCCCGGCAACAGCTTTTACGCTCCTGTCGTCGCTTCTAGCCCTGCCGGGCCTTCTGACACATCTACCTCTGGCCCCTCGACCTCGTCCACTTTAGGCCCCAAACCTTCCGGCTCGCACACAGTCGTCAACGCCCCCACCGCATCCACTTCCCGCGACGCGCCCTCCATCCCTACCTCCTTTGCGTCCAACCCCACCGACCCTGCTTCGCATGCTGTCCCAGCGCCGACTGAGGGGGCTGCTACGGCGTCGAAGAAGGGCGAGACTGTTGCCCCTGCGACTTCTGCTTCTGAGCCTTCGGGTGCAGGATCTTTGGGATCTTCGGAGCCTTTGGAGTCTTCGAGGGCCGTGGGTCACTCGGGATTGGCTCCTGCTTTGGCGCCGGCCCTTCCTGCGACCATCTTGGGTGCTGGTGCAGCGCACGGCGCTACCGCCCTCCCCTCGTCTTCTTCTGAACCGCAACATGAGCACACCGCCGTCTCTTCCCCCGCCCTCACCGCCCCAGGAAGTTCATCCACCCTCTCAGAAGACGCTTCGCCCATCTCCACCACCACCTCCAGCATCCCAGCCGGCGTACCCCAGACATTGCACGGGAACGACCGCACAACCTCGACTTCTTCCGTCACTGCTATCGCCCACGGGCGCGAAGGTCTTCCTTTTGAGCGTAGTGCCAAGGCTGGGGGTATTGCGGAGAGTCCCTTGAGGGAGGGAGTGGTAGCTGGTGAAGAGCCTTTTTCGTCCGCGGGTGTGAGCAATGCGAAGAGTCTTACGCCGGGGAAGGAAGAGCATGGTGTGGGGCATCCTTCGTCGCATGGGATTGCTGGTGCGCAGAGGGATGTTGGAAAGTACCCTGCCGCCGAGCATGGCGAGGCTGCTTCTTCTTCTGGTGCCGCTGGCAAGTCTAGTGGGACTGGGGAGAAGGCTGCTTTGGGTGCTGGAGCTGGAGCCTTGACGGGCGCTGCTGTTGGTGCTGGCTCTGGACGGGGTGAAGGCGCGGGGTTGGCGAGGAGTGAGAAGGAACAGTTGGGCGATAGGGCTCGTGCAGACGTACCCGGTGAATCCAACCTCGCAGGCGCTTCCACCTCCCAAACCACTCCTTCCTCTTCCTCCGCCGCTGCTGCCGCCCCCACCTCACAATCGAATTCCCACACTACTGGTCACACCACCGACCAAGTCGTTGGAATCGCCCCCGGCCAAACCCGCGTCAGGACCGAAGAAGAAAAGCTCGCAGACCGCGGAAAGGCCGACGTACCCGGTTTCACTGAAGAGGAGGAGAAGGCGAATATCCCGGGGAATGGGAGGGATGTTCTGGGGTCGAAACATTTGTCTGAGAAGCCTGCTGCTGCTGGTGCTGTGGGAGCTGGATCGGCTGTATCGCCCGCGTCGCCTAGTACCAAGACTGCTCCTACTACTGCTACGACATCGCAGACCACGCCGGTCAAGTCTCCCACCTCTGCTACGACCCCTTCGTCTGCCACGCCTACTTCCTCTTCGCATACTAGGACAGATTCTGCTGGTAGCGGATCGGGAGCTGTCAGCGCGAGTGGGACACCGTCAAAGAAGGAGAAGGGTGGGTTGTTGAAGAAGATCAAGAGCGGATTGAAAAAGATTTGAGGTGATGGCAAACTTGACGATTGGAATGGTGATACCAAGTGAATGAGAATTATAGTGAATGGAACAAAGAACAATCATGTATCGATATTAGTACGGACCGAGGGAATGCAAGAGATGAGCGGCATGTCCATGACTTTAGCGAGAGATACGGGATACAGAATACAACGTTCGATTGTGCGACATCAATCTTCATACTCGGTCATGTATATGATACTGCATAGGACAAGGATGAGATGTAGCAATCGGTGGTTCCATGAAGATTGGTCCGACGGAAAGACGACGACTCGTATCATCGCTTATTGGATTCTGGAGTTCAGTACGCCGGACGCTGCGAGTATAGACGTCGTATACTTTACGGTAGACAAGTAGTTACGTAACGTAGCGGGACCAAATACCCAATGTGGCACGGGAAGGTTCAGGGACGCGCAGCGGGGTGTGTTGTGGAGCCTGTTGTGCTTTCTCATGCTCCTGAATCTTACCAGGTGATAGGTGCTGAAGACTGTACAACAAGTATGTAATGCATACATCTTACCAGGTGATAGGTGCTGAAGACTGTACAACAGTATTCAATATCGCTCTAGTTCTTCCCTTCCCCAAATGCAAGACCTGGGACTTATGGCTTGCCCCTCCTATAGATAAGACGCTCAACGTCAGCAAGGCTATAATAATCAGCCTGACGTTGGTGTGCTACTTGCCGGATTGAGCAGCCATCGACGTCAAAGCTGAAGCGTAGCCACCGGCGCTTGCGGAGGCCCTTGCTCTGCCCCCATCGGAGCCCTCGTCGTACTCACTGCTCCCCATTTATATTGGATGGAGCAATCAGCAGTTCTCAAGAATCAGCCGTTCTCAAGCGCCTCGACCAATAGCTCGACACACAACACAGCAGGAGGCTGGGTACTCACCATGTCATTTACAATCAACAGCTGCGTCTCCGTATCCTTCATGGAGATATTGGGTGGAAACGTATAGTATTGACGGTCTGGCACTTTGCCACCTTTCAAGGCTGCCAAAGCTTGCATAGGCTGATGAGTTATCAACCTGACCAGGTCATTGACGGTGTAGAGGAAGAGCGGGGAGATGGTATGTGGATTTGATGTGGATATTCACCACGGCGAGAGCTTGCCATGACGGTTTCGGGTACGAGTCGATGTGGGCGGCACGCAGTTCCAACCTCGGCAGATGGCTCACGCCTGATCATCAATGTTATCATATACTACTTTTGCATGACACACCCCCTACGTAGTCGCCATAGCAGGGTGGGCAGCAACCCTGGTAGCGGTAATGACCAGGCTGCAAAAGCTCAAGATAGCTTCCAACAAAGTTATCTTCGTTCTCTTTGTCTCGCCGCAATAGTTTTACAAATAAATACGCATAGGGTCATCACATTCATGATATCAAGCATCTCCACTAGACGAACGCGCTTGTCACTGGTACAGGCCGCAAAGCTATGTCCCACGGTTGCACCGGATGGTCAGGGGGCTCGAGCTTGTATATCCACAGCTGCTCGTCGGGTTTGAGCTCTTTCCACAAGTCGAACCACTTTCGGTCTATGCCTTGTCTTTGTAGACGCAAGAGGTGTCGGCAAATGTGGATAAAGTAGGGAGTCATCGCTGGCTCGTCATTTCCTTCATCGTCGGTGCTGTAGATCGGCAACTGTTCGGCGGGGAGAGGTGGCTCAAAAGTCAAATCGGGCAAGGGTGGAAGTGGAAGCCAGTAGGCCGGGATGAAACGTTGCCTTTCCCATTGGTACAGAACGGATAAAGTGCGATCAAGCTCATCTATGAGCATCTCAGCAAAGCATATAGTAGTGTCTCATGTGCTGTCACTCACCTAAAAAAGGAATGTACTGTTGAGCTGTGATCAGCGGAATGATCCGTAAATGTGTCATAAACTCACTTCATTAAGAATAGCCAAAGCTCCCAGCATGTCCTTATCATAACTCACATCCTTTGGCATGGCTTCCATAGCGTCCACCAAGCCCTGAAAGTAGCTGACTGTGTATTTTGCATACCCATACGCTTTGCAGATCTCTATGCGAGATATCTATTTAAGAGGGTTACATCAGACAAATCCGAGACGCGCAGTCACCACAGCGGGTAAACGCACACTATCGCCCTCTGCCAGGTAAAATCTGGAAAAGTACAAAGGCCGTTTCGAATGCTGAAGACCTTCTACACAGCTGCTTGAGAACTCGCTGCCTTGAATGCGGACCGTTGACCGCCATAATGCGGTCTCGAAAACGAAATAGTCTTGGTTGATAGGCACAAATCTGTAGATAGACATGGTTTTGAAATCGAATGACTTCCAGAGGTCCTTAATGGCCCGCATTTGTGCGTTAACGTGGTGTGAGCGATGATGCAGATGGAGATGAGAGACGCAGAATTGCGCACAGAGTACGTCAAAGCAAGCGGAAAGACCGAATAATGATGAGTGATGTCCCGCCTGATTGCTGCGTCGGCGTTCATCGCAATCATACTTCCCGTGGATACGAGTACTGGGCGTACAAGTACGTCACTTCCCGTGGATACGAGTACTGGGCGTACGTCTCTTCGGTATTTGAAATCAGGTGATGCGGAGGCATGCCTATCCAGTCAATCGTCAGTCGATGCATTGGCAGGTTGCAGATCAGTTGCTGTGTCCTCTCAAGTAGAGGGATGAACTGATCAGGGATGGCGCAAGAGTAGCGGAAGTGGGGGACGGGAATCGGGAAAGAAGGGATGTTGAGGCTCGTGGGCGGCAAAAAAAAAAAAAAAACACAATTTCAAGGCTGAAAGAAGTACGCTGGTTGAGCCTTCAATCACAGGGCACTGGGGAGACACGTCTACGGAGAAGCGTAGCCAAAAGTGCGACCGAAAAGAGGGCTTTTTCTTGCTGGCTGGAACCGGTTGTCAAGTCCAAGCCCATATTGTATTGAGCCAGTATGGCAGTGAGATAATGCTCTATCGACGGTGTTCGATGAGCTTGTATCTGCTTGGGAGGCTACATAGAGCGACGTTAGTAGTAGACTCAACCCGCTCATGAGATGGTTCGGGGCGAGACTCTTACTATTGAGGAGGAGCTCACTATTACTAGCACAAAAATTGACCAACTGCTGAATGTTAGAAAAGTGTGTTTGCATATATATTTGTTCACTAACCCCTTTTCATAGACAGATCAGATCCATTCGTACGCGCTTGGTCGCCTATCAGGCAAATCCACAAATCTACGGAATACTATGGATTTATATAGACGGTCAAGCCTCTAGTCTACGCAGCTCGTCCACGAGTTATGCTCATCTTCCGCATGAGTCTGATGAACTGATCCCGTGGGTCTTGCCAATACTCTGCCTCGGAAGTGTTCCTCGTATCGATGCGTCACTTCATGAGATAGCGACCGGTGGGGTTTTGTGCAAGTATTCGTCTATGAACACCAGCTAACAGTACTTTGTTTTTGCATTGCGCCAGATAGATGACTCCTTGGAGACATTAGAATTATGAAGAGTCAAGCTTCTGCGGAAGAGAGCTTGTTGTTGAGTGATTTCACGGGTGAAGTCTGGTCGTCTCGTTTTCTCTTGGCTGACGCTACTGAGTCATATGCTTGTGAAGAGGCCGGAATTCTCCGAGATAGAGTATCGGCGTTCGATCCAATGGTGCAAAGGGGTGATGAGGACAGAAGGAACACGAATGATGAAGCCCCCGACCGACGTTGCCCTTGCGTTGTTGTTGCTGTGTTGTTGCGTTGCCCCGACCGGCTTGAGTTCGGCACGACGCGTCTGGCTTTACTTCTTTACTTACGTAATCTGGCCGTCAAGAACTGGAAGCGTACTCGCGGGGTGGTGGTGGTCGTGACGCCGGTGAGGCTGCTATGCATGTAACGAAAGTTTATAGCTCCAGATAGTGAATGAACTTCTATTGAGTCGGTAGTATAGAGAGCTTGGGATGGGGAGCAGGTGAGCATGCAAGAGAGGGAACGCCCATCAACGACGTGAATGAGCCTGTGTCAAACGACAATCATTTCACAATCCCCTTGCAGCTCCCTTTTTCGCTCTCAAAGCAGATGCGGACCTTTACCTTCGACCAGCACTGAGAGATCCGGCTCGTTTGACAAGGTATTTTGTTAATTGAAATCAGCTGACGAGCCCGATTTGTCGATTCTGAAGCTGAAGTTGACCAAAGGAGGGGGCGGGCAGTGCACTCTCACACCCGCCCCCTCTCGCCCCGGTATAATACAGATATCTTGACTTTTCTTCCCCTCATCATACCTGATTATACATACGCACCAGCAACAAACATGCCCCCCTCCACAGCCAACAACCCTTCCCAATCTGGTAGCTTCCAGACCATAGTCTATGTCGGCCTCAAAAAGTATTATGACTTCATCTTGTGTGAGTGCAGTCCATTGGAAGACTTTGGCGTCAGTCTGACGAGTGCATTTCAGTCTGGACCAGCATAGTCGCCTACACTCTCACCATTGTCGTTCTGGCCACGCTGGAGTATGTATCACGGCGACGTGTGCTGCAGTGCTCGAGAGCTGATGCGTGCCGACAGCTCTTCAACCTGCCCCGTGCCCAGACTCCAAATGTCGGCAGATGGCGCACGCCTCGGCGTCAATTTCATTGTATACTGCTTCTTTATGCCCTCTCCCCCTGGACGATCATCCCAGCAGGGTGGGCAGCAACCCCTGGTGCTGGGAATGACGAGGTTGCAACAGATCAAGATAGCTTCCGCGGTCATCTTCACTGTTTTTGGTTTCGCCGCCCTGATGCTGCAAATAGCACACACGGCCTCAGTGGAGAGACATGAAGCATGTCTGAGTGCGATACTGTGCCCAGACTCCTTCGACAAGCCACCGTACGTTGCTTCTAAATGGTTAAGGTCGCATTTTGACGGGTTGCTCGTAGCTGCACGGGAGTTCAGGGCCAGTTGTGCGTATATCAAATTCGCTCCGAAAGACAAGTAGCTGATGTCAAGTCCAGCTGTCGTAATCCCTCTGTCAATCCTGCTCAAGCGCTTATCAAGGACAATATCCGCGCAGAGACGATTGATGGGGGGTACCGATTCGACTTTGACGCCGACGTGGGTAAGTGATTGGTTGCCCCAAGGTCGCCTACCATGCTGACGAATATTTGCAGACCCTAAGCCGAACAGCACGAGCGACTTCGTCTTTGTTGGCGGTTGCAACTGGACCTACCTCACGGTCCTTGATGTGTAAGCTCTTTCTCCTATCTGTGTGGTCACCGCAGCAGGCTAACCATTTTTCACCCTTCCCTCAATCATCGTTCAACATCATCGTATCACCTGTTCTGCTGCTCCCGCATCTTCTTGCTCCGGCAATCCACTACGTCGTATCGTCACCCTGCACTTCATCCCACCAACAAACCCAAACCATTCCCGACTCTACGGTCACCCCTCCCGCCTACTCCTCGACCATCATCCTGCCCAAATCCAGCCTCCCCGCCGCCAACAAGACCCGCTTCCAAGTGCCCGTGGAAGCTGCATTCAACTGCAGCTCATCGGAGAAGCTGTCCCTCGGTGTCGTCGTTAGAATCGCCGAGACGGAGAAGGCGAAGGAGCTGGAGAGGGGGGATAGGGTCAGGTTGGAGGAGAAGAAGGGCTTGACGAGGATTGCCGGGGAGGGGAAGGGTGATTGGTAGACGAGTAGGCGGCATGCAGTTGTACATATTGGAGCCACGTACGCGAGCAGTGGGGTACCAAACAACGAGCGTTTTCATCCAGTTCGGGCTTCGCAACGATCATCAAGGCCCGCCTTTGTTGACTGTACCGATGAAAGGAGATACGTGCATGTCCTTTCGTTCTTGCGGCTCATGCGTCTGCGCACATCATCTCTGCCTTTTCTCGCTGCTCTCAGCCTCTAGTCGGCGCCTGTACCGTTCCTCAGTATACTATCAAGCCTCCCTCTCGCCAACTTTGAAGCACGACCTTTATACGTGCCGTGAACCGAAGATAGATTAATGGTGAGGCTTATTGGACCGTAAGTCATGTATACATCTCGTAACTCACCACTATACAACAGTACAATTTCCCCATCACGCTGGTTCTGCAAACATTCGTCAGCAGGGTATGCGACCTTGAAGTAATGCAACCAATTACTTACCCACGTCGGCGTCGAAGTCAAATCGGTACCCCCCATCGATTGTCTCTGCACGGATATCGTCCTTGATGAGCGCTTGAGCAGAATTGACAGAGGGATCGTTGCAGCTAGACATGACATTAGCTATCTTGTCTTTTGGAGCGAGTTTGAAATACGCACACTGGCCCTGAACTCCCGTGCAGCAACCAGCAACCATCTCAGCATTTTCAGCCCGAACCTCGCTCGCAGTAAAGTCTTCGAAAGCTTGATGTCTCTATCGGTCAGCGCAGAATATGCAGCCGGGAGGGATGCCAATGAGGTCACCCCTAACGGGATCTGTATCCAGGTAGGAGAGTGGCTGAATCTCGTTCGATCAGCAGCAGTTCGAAAAATAAGCCTGGAGGGACGTACCCGCGGAGGACGAGACGTTGAGTATCATTGTCGTTACCTGCGGCACAGCTAGCAGGAGCAGGTCAGCGTTATCTATCCACGCACTGATGATGACTCACTTGTCCCAACAAATAGCCACACGTCTGAACGAGTACACGCTGCGCCAGCCGTCTCTTCGAATTTCCCTTTCTCTTGTTTGACAAGCTTCGAGAGCTTCTTCGAATAAAGCACGAGCTCCGATAATGGAGCGGCGTCCTGTTCCCGGAGCTTCCGTAGCTATCTTCAGTTCTCTGACGGCGGGGTGGGAGCCGGAGGGATGATGGCCGGAGAGGCGAGGGACTGGGTGGGCGGTGGGCGGTGGGAGGAGGAGCGTCGTCGGTGGCTGGGGAAGCGTCGGTGGGTGCAGTGTCGGCGGGTGCAGTGTTGGCGGGGACGAGTACCCGTGTACCGTATGGTGCGGTACACCACTTCCACCTCGGACATAGAGAGCAATAGCAGCCCAATGGGCCGATACCTGAGAAAAGTGTCAGCCACCTTGAGGGAGAAGTCACTCCCACAGCGCAAAGTCCCTCTCAGACTCCCATGACTCACGTCTTGTGGGCACTCAGTAGAAGCCACCAGGCGACCAAGAACACCAGCATCAGGAGGTCCCGCAACCCTGTATCATCGAATCAGCTATGCATCCTCTCAAGATAGAAGCAGACAAAACAGTGGCAAAACGTACCTCCAACTACTTCCCTGCCTCTGCCTATCCTCTCCTCTGGGAAGGGATGTATCGTCCAACCAACCAAGGGCCGAGGAGGAGGGGCCGGGGAGGAGGGGCCGAGGAGGGAGGGGACGCCGGGGGGAGGGGCGAGGGAGAGCCGGAGGGGGGGTTCATGGCTCAGGGCGAGGTATGGGGAGAATGGAGGTATGCGGGATGTGAGAGTTGGGTGACAGATTGTATAAAGGAGGATGAGAAATGGAGATACAAATGCACGCTGTACATCAAGGCTGTGTCGGGTGGGGGAGGGCGCCGATCTCTGATGTATTTGGGTGTTTGGTTCGACCAACTTGCTGATGAACTAATTGTCTTTTGCGCTCTCTGTGATTGATCAATGCTGTATTTCACATGCAGTGTCTTTGGTATCTGCTGTAGCGCAGCATCGGTAGTGGAAAAGAGCAAGGCGTTGGTAGGTCATGCTGACGTTGTCGTATTGATGTAGGGTGAGGGCGGTGACATCGGCGAACGTCAGGAGCATCCACTCACCCATCGAGAGGAGTACCAACCAGCCAGAGTTCTACGAACCCCTCGAACCCCTCGAACACTCAAAGAACGGGCAACATCTCCCCGAGCGGTACATGAATACCCAACAATCATAGAAGACATAATACAACAAAAACCGCCTTTGCTCTTATACTTCACTTCCCCACCCCCATCTCAAGAATCAAGTCGATTGAAAAACGGTCAAGACGCTATTCCAAAGCTCAAGATAGCTTCAGAGTTATCTTCGTTCTTTTTGGTCTCGCCGCAATAGTTTTACAAATAATACGCATAGGGTCATCACATTCATGATATCAAGCATCTCCACTAGACGGACGCGCTTGTCATTGGTACAGGCCGCAGAGCTATGTCCCACGGCTGCACCGGATGGTCAGGGGGCTCAAGCTTGTATATCCACAGCTGCTCGTCGGGTTCAAGCTCTTTCCACAAGTCGAACCACTTTCGGTCTATGCCTTGTCTCTGTAGACGCAAGAGGTGTCGGCAAATGAGGATAAAGTAGGGAGTCATCGCTGGCTCGTCATGTTCTTTATCTGCGGTGCTGTAGATCGGCAACTGTTCGGCGGGGAGAGGTGGCTGAAAAGTCAAATCGGGCAAGGGTGGAAGCGGAAGCCAGTAGGCCGGGATGGAACGTTGCCTTTCCCATTGGTACAGAACGGATAAAGTGCGATCAAGCTCATCTATGAGCATCTCAGCAAAGCATATAGTAGTGTCTCATGTGCTG